CTGCTGGAGCCGGGAGAGCAGCGGCAGGGCGGCGGCCTCGCCCCGGTGGCACGGATGGAGCCCCGCCGGGCCCTCCTCCCGCTCAGTCCAGCTTATCCAGCACCGAGGGCACGTAGACCAGGCTGAGCTCGCTGCCGAAGTTGCAGACGATGGCGGCGTTGTCCAGCACCAGGATCTGCCGCGCCGGCTGAGACTCGTTGCTCTTGCCCAGGTAGACGGTCTGGAGCAGGTCCCCGTAGCCGATGTCCCAGAAGGACACGCAGCCCTGGCCGCCCGTCACCAGCAGGTTGTCGGAGATGACGCCCAGGCTGGCACCGCAGCCCAGCTCCTGCGGGCACAGGGCGCAGAGCTGAGCCCCGAGGGTCGGAAAGGGGCAGAGCCTTGCCTGGGTCCGGCCCGTCCTGAGCCTTCCCCTGGGCCAGGGAGGATTCCCCAAGCGAGTGGAGCTGAGTAGAGGCTGCTCAGAGGTGTCTGTGGGGGCTGGGAAACTCAGGCTGTGAGGTGGAGCTGGGAAGGGGCTGGAGAATTCCTGAGGGAGCTGGGAAGGGGCTGGAGAATTCCTGAGGGAGTTGGGAAGGGGCTGGAGAATTCCTGAGGGAGCTGGGAAGGGGCTCAGCCTGGAGCAAAGGAGGTTCAGGGGGAATTTCTGGCTCTGCACAAGTCCCTGGCAGGAGGGGACAGCCTTGGGGTCGGGCTCTGCTCCCAGGAACAGGGACAGGAGGAGAGGGAACAGCCTCAGGCTGGGCCAGGGGAGGCTCAGGCTGGACACCAGCAGGAATTTCCTCACAGAAAGGGTGATCAGACTCTGGAAGGGGCTGCCCAGAGTAGCAGAGGAGTCCCCTTCCCTGGAAGGATTTAGAAGCCACATGGATGTGGCACCTGGGGACACAATCAGTGGTGGCCCTGGCAGCACAGGGGGTGGTTGGACTCCCTGGGCTCCCAGGGTTTTCCAACCCGAGCAGTTCCCGGTTTCCTGCCCCACGGGTCCCACCTGCTGGATGGAGTAGAGCTTGATGCCCGAGCTGCGGTCCCAGATGCTGATGACATCGTCCAGGCCGCTGCTGATGACGCAGGACGTGGTGCAGGTCAGGGAGGTGACGTCCCCACGGTGGGCGAACACGTGGCTCACGCGGCTGCCCGTCAGCACGTCCCACAGGCAGATGGCCCCGTCCTGGCCACCGCTGGCCAGCACCATGGTCTGCGGGACACCGGGGCCACGTCAGCGCCAGGGGACACGGTGCACCCCTCTCCCAGCACGGGCAGGAGGTCACACGGGTGTGGCTGGAGCCCTGAGTGCCAGCCCCGGTGTCCCCTGCCTGTTCTGGTGCTTCAGCGGGCTGGGACCGACAGAGCCCCAGTGCTGAGCCCCAGCTCACTCAGATGTGGGGGAGCCCCTGGGGGCACAGGCCCCCTCTCAGGCCTGCTCAGCCCCACCTGGCAGTGCAGGAACAGGGACTCCCTGCTCCAGGAGGACAGAGAAGCAAGAGAGCTCCAGGGAAAGGGATGGCTGAGCTCACACTGAACTGGGGCAACGCTCCGGCTCAGCCAGAGATGGAGGGACCCAGGTGGGTCAGGGATGGGAGCAGGGATGCAGCCAGGTATGGGCTGTGTTCTCAGGGCTGGGTTCAGCTGTGAGCTCAGGTGAGCCCAGGTGTGAAGGCAGGTGAGGGCTCAGGCCCAGCAGCTCCCTGTACCTGGTCGATGTACACGGCTGTGATGGCTCCCGAGTGGCCCTGCAGGGTGAACAGGCAGCACGAATCCTCCAGCCGGAACACCTGCGGCAGGAGTGAGGCTCCAGCTCAGGCTGCTGCCACCTGAGCTCCCCACCACGCACCAGATCCCACCTGCTCCCCCTGGCCCGTGGTGCCTCGGGGTGCTGCAGCCCAGGGCAGGGTGGGCAGTGCAGGGTGGTGACAGCTGAAGGGGAGAGGGGACATCCCAGAGCCTGGATCTGCCACTCAGGGTATGTCACAGCAACCTCATGGGATGCTCCAGTCTGGGGACACAGGAGCTGGAGAGCTGGGGGAGACCCTGGGGTGCTGCTGGACGTGACCAGCTGTGCCCAGGGGGGTAAAAGGCCAGTGGCACCTGGATTGTTTCAAACCCAGTGTGGCCACCAGGACAGGGATTGTCCCCTGTGCTGGCCCTGCTGAGGGACCCCCTGGAATCCTGGAGAGCCCAGGAGAGGCTGGGGTGTGTCCAGGGAAGGGGCTGGAGCCCCAGGAGGGGCTGAGGGAGCTGGGAAGGGGCTCAGGCTGGAGCAAAGGAGGCTCAGGGGGAATTTCTGGCTCTGCACAAGTCCCTGAGAGGACAGCCAGGGGGTCGGGCTCTGCTCCCAGGGAACAGGGACAGGAGGAGAGAGAGGTTCAGGCTGGATATTGGGAAAACTCCTTCATGGAAGGAGTGGTCAGGCATTGGAAGGGGCTGCCCAGGGCAGGGGTGGAGTCCCCATTGCTGGAGGGATTGAAAAGCCCTGTGGACGCGGCACTTGGGGACATGGATCAGTGGTGGCATTGGCAGTGCTGGGGACTGGCTGGACTTGATACTCTTGAAGAGCTTTTCCAAGCTCAGCGATTCCATAGTTCTCCTGAGGTGTGAGGGTGTCACACTCAGCTCGGGGTGACGCTCACCGGGCTCCGTCCTCCCCTCTCCTCCGACGCAGGCGGGTGATCAGAGCCCCGAGCTCCCCTCCCCGCGTGCCCCATGCCCGTCCCTGTCCCCTCACCCTGAGCGTGTGGTCCTGGCTGCCGGTGACGAGGCGGCCGGCCGCGG